TGTAGAGAAGAAGCAGCAGTAGAGAGCTTTCAATTAAAAAGTCGCTTTTTATGAAAAAAAAATGGCTTTTTATATGCCAGATACTTTATCAAAACTTTAGTTCGCTGGATTAAAGTAATCCAGCAAACTTTATTGAAATTCCTGAGATGTTGGATAATTATTTTTGATTGGTTAATTGTGTTAGAAACCCTAATATGGGCGTAGTTAATGAATTGTAGGGGATTGAATTAAAACATGTGTTAATAAATGGTTATTTAAATTACCCTAAAAGAGAAACTGTGCGACGCGAAATACTCGGACGATTAATCGCCGAATGAAAATCACATCTCTAAAGGTTCCTATAAATAAAAATAAAAAAAAGAATAAAATAAAAAAATAACGTTTTTGTGGACTGTAATTTATTTACCAATTAAATATGTATTCTCTAATACAGTAACAAAATGGTTTATCTTAAATCTATAGTTAGTACTTATATTTAAACTAATATACTAAGATACAACAATATAAATTCCTAGCAATTCATATTTAGACAAACAGAAAATGTATAGTCTGACCTTGCTTTCTGTACCCAAATGAAGATGGTGAATGTGTCAAGTAAAGCAGTTAAACCCGATGCAATCAACAGAGTGAATTGAACACATAAAACCGTTAAAGAAAACAAAACCAACAAAATAACGCACTAGAGTCCGTGATACAGAAAAACACTCTAGGCATGCCGATACGCGGATGATGCCTTCGCGACCACCGCCACACACTACACCAACAGGTAAAACCAGTGTGACAGGTCGCGCTCTTGTTGAAGAGAAGAAAAACCGACGCTCACCCACCAAACTGCTTCGTCACTACCGAACAGAAACATTCCTAATATTTATATACAGGGTGTTAGTAAATGCTATGTCACGAGTAGTAGGATGATATTATGTAGGTATTAAAAATAGCGAAATCGAAAACTAAAATTTCCTATCTCCAAAATTGGTGGTTTTCCGGTACCCCTACTTTAAATTTTGTTTTAATAAAAAACAAACATCACAACGGTATTTCCCACGAAATTCTCATACGAATTGAGTGGTCACTCGACTTTTTGTAACTTTCGTGCCCTCCTCTAAACTTTGGGTTCAAAGTTGGAAAAAATTTCACTTTAGTGTAATCATCAATTTGTATTGAAATTTTACTGGGAGTTCTGCGATGCAGCTTATTTTTAGTTTAAACGATTACATAACGAGAAAAACTGGAAAACCCATAGATAATGTGATATTTTTTTAATTTCACGAGTTTATTTCGTCTTTTATTATTTATTCAAACCGATTATCATTAAAACTGTTATAAAATTATCATTGTTTTTCTTTTTAGATCGCCTCTAATTTGCTGATACATGTCGAAACCAAAAATAATCGTACTGTGTTTTAGTATTTTAATAGCGGGACGATAAACTAGTGGTATTTTTTTTCTCGATGTACTGTCTTTAAAATAAAAAATAAAAAATACTGTTTATAAGATTAGTTTACTTAAATTTTTATAACAAAAAACTTGAAATAAATGGTCATTTTGTAAATGAAAAAGTGTAAATTTAAATTACATTTTTAATAAGTGACGCACATTAAAAATGTTTTACAATACAAGCTATTTGTTTACTATAGGTTAGTCGTTTTTACTGCAATTTATGCATTTTTATTGCATATAAAAGAAGCCATATTTTAAAAAAATCTAATATTTTTTGCAACTTAATTAGTGACTATTCAATAGTAAACGGTATTTTTCGAACATATAAATAAATATTAACAAGCTCAGTGATGTACTATATTCTCATTGGTGACTAATTTCGGGATAGAGTAGTGTGCCGATTACATCATAATAACTATTTCTAATTATCCTATTTGTAATAAAGTTTAAAATATTCATTTCAATCTTGTGATTGTTTTATTTTTCCGATTTAAAAAGAAAAACAATGATAATTTTATAACAATAAAGTTCATAAATAAAAATTTTTGGTAGAAAAAAAAATTTGCCCCACTCGTACTTATTAACCACTGTCGTACGTCGGTAGTACCCTGACGCAGACACAAAACGCATAAATACATACTGACAACTCTATGTCAGTATGTGTTAAGCGTTGATAATGGTAACATTGTTTCCGAAATACGTATCCGCGACTTTTCATTAATTTTTTGTGGCTTTGAGTTTAATATTTTTTAGTTTTTTTAAATTAATAATATTTTTAATATAGTTTTAATTTTACTTAATATATTGCAACTGTTTCAGAAATTTTACTTTTTATAGCCTGTCAAAACATTGAACAACGTGGAGATAATGAAAGTAGCGATAGCATAAATAACGGTAACTTCTTAGATCTTTTAAATTTTTGTGCCAAAAGAGATACTTGATTAAAAAAAAAATCGATGATTTACCTAAAAATGCAAAATATACACATCACAGTTTACAAAATGAATTATTTATTATTATGAGTCAAATGGACATAGAATCAATTGCAAATAAGTTGTAAAAATCTAAGTACTTTTCAATTTTGGCTGATGAAACTAAAGATTTAAGAAAAACTGAACAATTATTAGTTATGGTACGTTATGTTTACAATAACACGGTAAATGAACGGTTTTTGGGATATGTGTCATGTTCTGAACTAAATGCCAAGGCGTTGTTTGAATTTATTAAAATAACTTTATCTACTTGTGGGATTAACATTCAAAATTGTATAGCTCAAACTTATGATGGGGCTTCCGTAATGAGTAGTAATCAAAATGATGTACAAGCAATTTTTCAAAAGGAAGTTCCAAAAGCATTATACACATATTGTTATAATAATCGCTTGAATTTAGTGATTGTGGATGTTTGTAAAAATGTACAAAAAATTGAAAAATTCATATCACTTCTTCAACAGTTTTTTTAGGTATTCAGAAAGAATTATTTCCTAAAAAAAATACAGTTGAACTTAAAAAGTTATGTGACACAGGGTGGCTTTGCCAGATATCTGCATGTATTGCTGTTAGAGAAACATTTTCTGTTATTCTAGTACTTCTGAATAAAATTAGAATGGAATCAAAATTCGAAAGATGTGTGCAAGCAAAATTAATTTTGCTTCACATTAATTTTGAATTTATTTTTTGTTTACACCTCTTTTATGATATATTTAGTCAAATAAAAATTGTTTCTGATTATCTACAACTACCCGAATCAGATTTTGGTACAAGTTGTATAATGGTCAAATCATTGTAGGATTATCTTAAACAATTCCGAACAGTTGATAAATTATTTGATGGGCTCTTGGAAAAAGTTGTTTTGTTAGCTGAAATTAATAACATCCCAGAAGAAAACACACATAGAAAAACTTTTCGTAAATTGCTTGCTAAATTTGTATCATATGTTACAGAACTACCGATTCCTAAAAATAGGGAGATTATGAGTAAGAATTATGTAAGGACAATTATATATTTTCCAGTAATTTATCGAATGATCAATGAATGACAAAGAAGAATTTCTGATAATAATCCAATATTATCTAGTATTAGTTCTTTAAATTCTCAAAATAAATCTTTTTTAGACTTGCAAGTATTACTACCTTTTGCCAAATACTATGAAGTGGATATTGAAATCTAGAAATCTGAATTGAAGTTAATACCCAAACTCATATATAGACATAAAAAAAAAACTGAAACTAATACTATACTTGATTTCATACAGTTGCTTGAAATTTACAAATTGGCTTTTTCTGAACTATATTTGTTATGTACTATAGAAATTAACATACTACCTTCAAGTGCCGGTGTTGAGAAAAAAAATTTTCTAGTCTCTGACAAATTAAACTTATATGAGAAATAAAATGATCAACACAAGGTTATCAGATTTAGCAGTTCTTTCAATAGAGAAAAATATTTCCAAAAGCCTAGATTTTTAATCTATTGTGAACAAATTATCTGTTGCTCATCATAACCGCAGAATAACGCTTGTTTAAAAAATTTAGATTTTAATTGTATTTTCATTTTAAACATTACTAATATGTTAAAATTTTATATTATATGCAGTAGGTTATGCAAAGTTAATTGGTGTATTATATATAAATCATTCATTTTTTTTTTTACCGATACTGTAGTGTTGTGTTCGCCCATTCAAAAAAATTGCTTGCCCTTTACCACCTCCCAAGGAAAAAAATTTTGGTACCGTCCCTGCTTACTACTGTTGTAAAATTTATATTATACTAGTATCGATGTTATTTAATATTTCCTCAGCTATTTACTTCACCACCTTATACAACGTTTAATGTATTCTTTTTAATATATTTAATGTATTCTTGCGTGTTCCCTCTTCAATGGACTCATGTATTATACATTTTTATTCTTTCAAAAATCATATTTCTTTTGTTTATAAGATACATACAACGGCCTCGTATAAGGTCATCCCATTTAATCATGATTATGTGACAACTTGTCACGCAGATGTGATGTACATCAACTATAAACGGCTAAAAAACATCAGTTAAAGATCTAATTATTTTATAAGTCAACAGTTATCTCTATATTTAATATTTTCATGACAATAAATTATAAAAACATTTTCTTTTCTTATCTTTAATATTTAGTAGTAGGTTATTTTAATTATGGCTCTAAAAATAAATAATATAGTTTTTTCTTATATTATTATTTTTTAAAGATATTAAATTAACCTCAATGTATAATTTTATACATTTTTTTAAATCCTACTGTAGACAATACATTGTCTCGCTTAGCAAGTTGACGACCTTAGTTTATTTATGTTCCTAGCACCATAAAAATTACAAAAATGATCTATTGTGGCCAAAGTTTGAAATTAATAATTTGTAACCTTTCATGTGTTCTATCCTATTTTTACAGTTAAATATTATATTTCTGACTTTTATTATAAAAATAACTTTAATAGGAAATAATAAGATAAACATATAAGGTTATCATATATTTTTTGACTTTTGCATAATTTTTGATATAAATAAAAAAATTCAAAAACTACCCTCCACTTCAAAATTTTTACTTTTTTACGTTACCGGTTAACTATAATATATTTAGATCTCAACTTATATTTGAACAATATTAAGCATTATTATTTTTAAAAATTAACAATTTTTTTGTCCTATAAATAAAGGCCACTCTAATGAATATATTAGCATATAATAACATACAATTTATAAAACTATAATGTTATGTATTCATTTTGGTACATGTGATATACTTAAATCTTCAATTACTCCTAAATATAAAACCGGGGAACAAAAACAAATGGGTACCACAATCTCCGAGTTATATTAATAAAAATATTTTACACGAGACTTCTTATTAGATTTGTGTTCTAGAACAACTTAATCCAAATTACGATTGTGTTCATATTCATGATTTCCTGCGTGATTGATTTTTGATTAAGATACTTATATGTTTAGAAAGATTTGAGAATTTTCGTTAATGAAAAACATCATTGTATAATGATATTATTTATTATATTTTACTTATTTAATTATTATTTATATATCTGATTACGATTTATAAGCTTTATATCCCAATAAACAAAATTTACAGTCTGGACAGAATTTTACATTGTCTTTTCGGTTTATGAGATAACACATATAACAAAGTTTATGATCACATGAGTCCGTTTGTATTGAGGAACATGTATCAAATGCTCCATCTTGGGTGTTGCATTGGACACATTTTTCCTCCTGATTACCAGCTTTCTGATTAGCTGGTAAAATATAAAATTTGTGTAAAAATCATTGTTTTTCATGTAGTTATTTTTATTTAATAATTTTTTCGAAAAAAGATGATTCATATTATCTTTTTTTTTTTATAAATACATTTAGTATTACTCTTTCTTTAAGTATATTTTTTTGAAAATCTGACCCTTAGCCTGCTTACCTCTAATCCCCTACCTGCCAGAGAGATTCAAAATAGCTACTTAATCATGAAAAGTTGACCTTTTCAACTTAACTTTTGAAAATATTTAAAGTAATGACTGGAAATGAAGAGGGGGTGCTGCTTTTTTTATAACTAAACATTTCCTGACCGTATTCTTCCTCTCAGCTAGTATAGTAATTACAAATAATTAATTTGATTTATTTTAATTTGTTAATCAATAAATTAAGAATAGACGTTCTCTAAAAACCAACAATATTCTTACTTACATGTGTAAGTATACACATTGTGTATATTTTAAATATATAATTTTCCACATATTAGACAGGCATTGTTATAAAAATAACAATGACATATACTACTGACATAGTCTCGTGTCACTCCTTAACAAACATTAAGGTACTTGTGACAACTTTGTTAGCCATAGCCCTTCTATTTGTACATGGTAGTTTAACCGACTCTAACAACGCGTGCGAATGGCCTCGATAAAAATTCCAGCAAGTGACGCACGACTGACGACGACCCGTCACAAATATACGTTGAAGTCATTTTAGTGGTAGCGTTCGACGAACATCGTTCAACATGGACCGTATGTAACGAAGTGACTGTCTGAATCGCGTACCCGATGCTCAATCTAAACGATATTATTAGATGAATAAAGCAGGAGAAAGTATTCACAACATATGATATTAAATCAGTTTAATGGCAATTCTTACTTAAACGGAACACGCGTAAATATACGGTATTCAAGGGTTTGTTTAATTTCATGTCCTTTCGTTTTAACTTAAAAATGCACTCGCCAGAAATTTCTTTTTTTGGACACCAGGTACATGTAGAGGGCATTGATAATAAATCTGGGAAATTTGAGTCCATACGTGCTATAACAATCTGATGCAATGTCAAGAACTTTTAGGAGTGTGTAATACGTCCCCTTACCAAACTACTCAAAAAAGGGGAAAGTGATCGTGAGACCACATAGATCAAAACGCATCAAAGCACATCAAAACAGTGATATGACAACACCTCTCTCACCCTCAGACTACACCAAAAGAGTTTTGCTTAAAAATCGACGCCAGTGAACTTGATATCGAGGCGGTATTATTTCAGCATAGTAACGAGCCGTGCAAAATGATTATCGTCACCTACGTGAGTAAAAAGTCATTGAACATGTAAAAACTTTACACCATTTTTGAACGTGAATGTTTCTGTGGCTCACAGAAAAATTTAAAACAATTAAAATATGTCTTTTTGAATTTCTAAATGCGCCAACACTGTCGTCTGGCAGTCAAGTTCAGCGTATCCTGTTGAACTTATCCTGCTTGATAGGCCGGCTGTATTTTTTTATAGGTGAACAGTTGTCTTCTGACAAGCGGATAAACATATACTATTAGAGAGTGGATGTTTCTTTGGTTTTACTTTCTCCAATCGGTGTATTTATCAAGTAGATTTTTTGCATTGGGTATCACGTGGAGGTATAAAAGGAATTATAGTAGACAATCACTCTTAAATGAACAATAAGTTCATAATATCACAAAAAAATACAGAAATAATATAGTTAGAAAAAACATATGAGTACATTAGAAGTTGGAGCGTTCGGTGGTTGGTTTCACTACGTATTTGTTGTCTTATGCTGTTTTTGTGTTTTATGTAATAAACATTGTAAATGTATGTAAATTCAAGGACGTTTGAACTTAGTTATAGGGGCCATAATAATGTAAAGTTACTTAAAAATTAAGTAATTTCTACAATTATTGTAGAAATTGAAGCGCCATGTTTGGCACCGTATAAATAATGTAAAAAATCTTCGTCACCAACTTTGAGAAAAAGCGTAGAGATTAAACAAAATTGTATACAAGACGCATTGATTTACTTAAATAATTAGAATAGGAATAATAAATTTTACTAGATCAGACTTGTCCGGCAATCACAACGACAAATATGTTGTCACACTCCTATGTCGACGAGAATGCCCTAGACAATAATTCAATACAAACACCAACAACATAACCGTTCCCGCGCACCAACACTCTTTATAATATTCATGCCGAAAATAAAATAAAAAACGCGATCTGCAATCGACGTTTATCAGGGGCAGAGAACAAGAGTAACAAAATAACGATAGTTTTCTCTCTTCCATCAAACAAAAATTAAACACACCATTTTCATACATGATCTGCTATTTTCTTATTTATATCCTGATTAAGATAAAGTATGTCAAATGAAAGAGGGATATAAATATCATTTCTCATAAAAAAAATTGTATTGATCCATACACTTTTCAATAAGTTATATCATTATAAAGTTAAAAATATAAAAAAGATTTTTTTACAAAAATCGATCATCAAACAGACATCAAAATTTTGATGTCTGTTTTCACAGTTAAGACAAAATGAAGTCCAAAATTTTTTGTTTCATAATAAAGTATATTACATTAACTTAAATTTAAGATATATATATACAAGATTTCCGGAACACTTTTAAAAGTTAAGTTGAAAAAATAAATTTTTTGTGAAATATTTGAAATTTTAAATCCCCCCTTGTGGGCGGTTTCCAAATAAAAGATAAAGACACCATGCATATACAAAAAAAAATTATATTGATTTGGTTAAATTTAAAAAGTTATGGCAGTTTTAAGTAAAAAAATTGAAAAAATTTCGAAAATTAGCGATTTTTAAATTTGTAATTTTTTTTGATATTTCCCCCATTTGCGGGGAACGAGGGAAATTATGTCTTCGACTAGATACGTTTTGTGATCTTTTGATGTAACGTTGAAAGAAATCGGTTTGGAGAGAGCTGAGTTAAAGTGATAACACACACAAAAAAAAAAGAAAACACATAGTAAAATAATACCTTCTCAGCTTCGCATCGAAGCTAAAACAATTTTTTTAATAGATGAACTTTGGCTTAGACGTATAGGCGCAAACACACCGATATACTACCCACGCACAAATCCGGTAGAATATGGCAATATACGAGGCATTTTTAACGGAGTCCATTCATACTTCTTGAGAATTAAACTACCCCCTCTATTGTTCGTGTTACGCAATTGCTGAAACAAGCAAATTGGCTACACTGTCCGTACTCGTCTTAGGAAAGGAAGGAAAACGACTGGGTTCATCCATCATCACATCACAGATCATAGATGGTGACGGTTGGCGTATGAACAACAAACCACAAAGATCAATACTACATTAAAACAAAATACAGCGCTCAGCACTGTCCCTCGTCCCATCGCCCAACCGTACCAGCTTCACTTACCAAGCGAATAATAATTTGAACGGCCCCCGTCCACATCCATAACCCCTTTCTACATGGAAAAAAATATATTATACAACACTAAAAATAAACCTATGAATAATAATTAATTATAAAATAAAATAAAAATAATTAAATATCTTACCACTTGTGCTATCTGCTCCATGTACTATTAAAAAAAAAATTTTAAAAATTTTAATATTCATCAATATAACATTATTATTTGATTTGTCTATTTACAAAAGAGACACATATTTTTACATACATTATTGAAAATGACTCTTTTTTTTTTTTTTTGATAAATATGTTTTGTATTTATTAATGCTTAGAGTTAAATTACATTAATCGTATTATGCTGATTCATAAGTTTTATTTACTTATGAAAAATATGCTATAAAATACAATTATTTATAGTATGATTTATTAAATATACTACTCTCTATTTTTGTATAGCAATATAAAATTTAATTTAATCTTTAAAACATTACAAATATCCAACTTATTGTAAGAAAAAATTGTACTTAATTTTATATTCTATGGGTAACTCCCGAAAGTTAAATGAGAAGCTGTAATTATTTTTTACTATTAAATGGAATATGGCCCAAGTAAAATTTTGGCTGGTGGATAACCAAATTTGTTTTATTGTTTTTTAAGATATTAGCATTTGACGATTTAAATAAAGTAGAGGAATAGAGTAGTGTTTAGTAACCCCCTTCATTTTTATCATAATGCACAGATAAGAATTCTTCAACTTTGCGCACCCTTCTCGACTACAACTAAAAGTTGTAACAATTCATAAAAGTAATTATATTACCTATTACCGACCTGTTAAAATTTTATTTAGAACATTCTCTAATTAATAGTTAAAAAATAATAATAGATTCTCATTTGACTTGCAAATTTACCTTTAAAATCCATCCTTAGGGATAAACATATAATGACTTATAATAATTAATTAAATTCCAATCTATTTAATTTTAATCTACTTTAATTGAACTAATTAATCTATACTGTCGTAATATGCCCAATACTTTGCATTACGCATCTTACATCAATAATTGTATCATATTGTTACCTTTGATGATTGTAATCAAATTTTAGCTCTAATACGAAGTTTAAATCTGTATGAATTTTATTACAATGAGTTTTTTTTTGTCTGTTATTAATTTTTTTCAGCTCTCACCGAACCGATTTTTTTCAACGATACGTCAAAAGATTACAAATCGTATATAGTCGAAAAAATTTAATCATTCAAAGAAAAAATTTGTTGATTTTATAAGATTATACAGTTCACCACATCCAAAGAACATTATGGTCCATCGGACCTAGATTATTAAAAGAAGTTTAGTAATACTAAGTAGTTGAATTTTAGCGACATTATTAGAATCATTTGTGGGCATTTATTCGATATTTATAATTAATCATTTCATTACTAATTACACACATTCTTTTGTTTTGTTAATTTTTCATAAATTTATAGCACTTTTAAGAACAAAAAGTTAAAAAAAGACGAAATCTACTGATTTAATAAAATTAATGTTTTGAGGAATTATTGCCATTTACAGGGAACAGTAGAAATTTTTTCAATTTTAAGGGCGATATCTTCAACTTGATTCAATTTGGGATTATAGACGTATCGTTGAAAAAATTCGCTGAGCTGAAAAAAGTAGTGACAGACACAAAAAACGGTTGCACAGTGGGGTCGTGGAACAGTGTGGATATGGTATAGTTGGAACAAGTATGAATGATATAGGACAGTGATTGAAATCACTAACATAAAAAACGCTTCGTTGCAAATCTGTAGATAGTGTCTAATTTTAATAAAAAATTAATTGTATTCAAATTTAAATTTTAAATTGAATTGGCAACAAAAATATGTTAAAAACGATATTTTGAATTAATTATTTTTAACGTACTAAAAATAAAAATCTGTAATTTAAAAATAATTTTTTTTTCATTATAATAAATTATTTTAATAGAAAAATTAATCATTTCTATGTAACTTTTAGTATTTAAATTGATGAGACAATTGAAATATTAAGAATAATTTCCTTATAGTTATATCTTATGGTTTTTAACTAATTAGTAATAATATCAATAATTGTAAAAGGGGCTAATGCCCGTAAAATGTTTTTATAAATAAATAAATAATTGTAATTATTGGTGATAGAAAAGATATAATTGCTAATTTCAAATTAGCACGAAAAATTGAATAATAAAAGTATTCATAATTGACAACAATTTATTATCTAAAAAGTTTTGTGTAAGGCCTTCAATTTTTATACAAGTTCGCCATAAAAGTAATAACTACTTTACGAATTCTCCGAAAAAATTACAATACTAAATCCCAATAAATATTTATTCATATATTAAACTAACTAAATTATAAAAGAATTAAATAATATAATATAATAAAATAAATTACATCTATAGGGTCATTCCATGTGAAATCACCTAACGTGTATGATGCTATAGTTCAGAAATTTTTGACATTTTTATCATAAACTTCTTAAAGGTCATTGACAACAAAATAATTTTTTTTTATTGTTTTTTTACAAGATAGCGCATATTTAATAATTAAAAACATGAAAAAACACCTTATGTTCTAGAGCCTATAACTTCACATCCAAATAAGTTATCACCGTGTAACTAGCACTGTTTTATTTATATTAAATAGTACTTCAATTTCATTCTTAAGTTTATGAATTTTGAATTTTTTTAACATTAAAATTTTGCAGTATTTTGACAGCAAAAAATATTTTAGTAAATTTTTTTTTTTTTTCAGTAACTTTTAGTTATGTTCTTTTAACCCATATCATATTTAAATCGATTTATAAATGTTTTTGTATCGTTTTACGGTCTTGAATACTGTATGGTGCTAAAAATAGCCATCTTTATCCTTTAGGCAATTAAAATATCTGGTGAAAATTTGATAATGGAGATATAATTTTAACGCAACTTATAGAACTTACAAAATTTACAATTTGCGTATTATGGAAAATCCACAGATTACGTAATTTTCAACATTTAATTTTTATTTTTAGTTAGCAACTATTTTTAAAATTATTATTTTGTTTAATAATAATGAAAGTATGAAACTGTCAATGAAGCCGTAGTCTTTATTGTACATACGGTTTTCATTTTATCATATTACATCATAGTGACTTTTGTATAAATTTCTTCATGAATATGAAAATGTTAAAAAGCATTTAAAACTGGTTATGTATTATTAAGAGTGTCAGGATTGTCCATATAAAATTACAATTGTGTGTCACCAAGTTGTCAAGTTAATGTGTAACTTTTATTGTTGTGACTACTATTGTATGTTAAAAAAATTCTAAATTCACAATCTTAAGAATGAAATTGAAGTACTATTTAATATGAGTAAAACATTGCTAGTTCCACAGTGATAGCTTATTTGGATGTGAAGTTATTGGCTTTAGAACATAAGGTGTTTTTAATTATCTGGTAAAAAAACAATTTAAAAAAAAAATATTTTTGTTGTCAATGACCTTTAAGAAGTTTATGATAAAAATGTCAAACATTTCTGAACAATAGCAGCACACATGTTAGGTCATTTTACATAGAATGATTTTATAGTAAAAATCACTATTGAAAGTTTTTTAATGATGTATATCTCACACAATATATTTATCATGTAATATTTACTTTAACCACAAAGAAAAATGAGAATGAAGATTGTATATTAAGATGAGGTTGTGTCTATGTAGATATTCACGTACGTATGATATTACAGCATTTTTCCCGTTCTCGACTGACACTTCGGAATAACTTTTTAAAAATGACCAAATCAATATAAGTTTCTTTTTATAGATGCATTATGTCTTTATCTATCATTTGATATATTTTATTATCATAGTCATAAAACAAAGGCAGTACAATATACGAGACTACCAAGAAAAAGAATTGGGATCTATCAAATACAAAAATTAAAATGCATGGTATTTCCTATGTTAATAATTAATTTAATTCCTTTATGTTTTTGAACCCTTGAACAGAATAATAGATCTTTATTTATATGTCGTAAATCACTGTGAATATCCAACACCCCAAATATAATAAGCCATTAAGATATAGACATATTAATTCCAAAATCTAAACTTTTATTTATTTTTATATTTATATTTTAATCACTACACTATATTTTTATCATAAAGCATAGTTAAGAATATTTTTATGTTGCACATCTCTCTCAGCTATACATAAATATTATATTAATTTAAAAAGTAATATTATATAATTGTTAATTGACTTATCATCATTTATTCAATATATTCCCATTTTATGTTAAAAAATATTTGATAAATAGTGATAAAAATCTTATATTTGTGCACAGATTTCCGATACTGTCTGTCAAAATTACACTACTTGAATGTAAAAAAATTATATAAATATATTAAAAATATTACACTGATGTATGGGAATTTTCGAATCATTCCCCACAGTGTGATATTTCCTATAGTTCATAAAAATAAATAAAATTTTAATCTGTATATTTTAAAAAAAATGAAAAATGATTAAAAGTATAATTAAATGAAAAAATAAAAAAATGATTATTTAACAAAAGAATTTTACACATATAATAATTTATACATTTATTATACGTTTTTAAATTAATTTTAGATATTTTTTTTTATTTTAATATGTATGTTTTACATACATACATAAATCATTATTCAACAAAAGAATTGCGAGTAGTATTCAACGTATATACTTACATTGATTAGCCGACGGAGCTTCGGTCAGTGATGGAACAGAAGCTAGGTTTACACATAAAATAATTTATACATTTATTATACGTTTTTAAATTAATTTTAGGTATTTTTTTTATTTTAATATATATGTATTTTTATGAAAAAAATATATTTTTTTATTATCTTTCAATACAAAGTATTATTATAGCTTAACAATTAAATAAAATGAGAAAAGAAAAAAGAAATAATAATAATAAAAAAAATAGTACAATTGATCTTACATCAACATAATTACAATAAAATTACAGTAAAAATCGATAAATAAAAAAACCAGCTGAATGAATGAAAGAAATAACTAAAGAAATTACATCGAGAGAAGTTGAGTTAAGGATAGTGTAACAATTAATAGGAGAGCTATTAAGATGAGATAAATTATTAAATAAAATAGAACGATTACTTTCAAATGCACAGCAGTCAAAAATTATATGAGGAAAGTCGCAGAGAACTTCATCGTCATGTTTGGGGCAGAAAGGAGAATTGTTAAGGGATATTTTTTACGCATGAAAAGGAAGGCGATTATGACCAAGTCTTAGTCGAGAAAAGGATAATATATGGAACCGGGAGTGAGGAAGTTTATGGAACCAAAGATGATTTGGAATAGTTGGTGAAATTGATTTGTGCCAAGCTGCGATGAGAGAGAAAGGAGAAGACCAATATTCTTGCCATGCTAGAAATATCGTCTTATTAAGGGGTGAAACGAAGTCAGATGAAGGAATATTGAGGGTAGGACGACGGGTGAATTTGGTAAGTTTGGCTAAATGGTCAGCCTCCTCATTACCAAAAATACCCACATGACTAGGACACCATAAAAATTCGATTTTTGTATTAGCTAAGAAAAGATTATAAATTAATGCTTTTATTTTAATAATAAGGAAAGATATGCATTTTTTGAAATAATTAGAAGAGAGAGAAGAAAGGACTGATAAAGAGTCAGTAATATTAAAACATTAGAAATATTGAAGGATTGAATAAGCTCAAGGGCCGAAGAATTGGCATAACACTCAGTAGTAAAAAAACAAATCCGGTAGAATATGGCAATATACGAGGCATTTTTAACGGAGTCCATTCATACTTCTTGAGAATTAAACTATCCCCCTTACTATAGTGGAAGTAGTTTACACAATCGCTGTAACGAGCAAACCGGCTCCCTCCGTCCGTACTCTTCTAGGATAGGATGAAAAACTGCTGGGTGACTAGTCAGTACAACACAATGAATCGTCACCATCTACGATGTCCGATTCGCGCGCGAACAACAAACCACAAAAATCACCACCACGTCACCGACTGGCTACAGCAAAACAAAGTACACTGTTTAGCACTGTCTCTTGTGTCATCACCTAACTGTCCAGTCTCACTTACCAGGCGAATAAAAATTTGAACTGCCCGTCTACTTAGCCAATATTCATAACCACAATCAAAATTATATTATACAGCAATAAAAATAAACGTATGAATAATTAAAAATCTTACCATTTGTGCTACCTGCTTCATGTACTATTAACAAAATAAATAAATTTTAATATTCATCAATATAACATTATTATGTGATTTGTCTTTTAACAAAAGTATTTTTTTCACACATTTTTGAAAATGACTCTTCTTTTTTAATTAATAAATACGATTTGTAGCTATAAACATTTTGTTCACTTTTATCATATAATACTAATAATAAATATATAACTAATTTAATATTTTACCACTTTTGCTATCTGCTCCATGTACTATTCAAAAAAAAAAAATTTGATTTATTTATTTACAAAAAGATTTTTAACATGCTTATACTAGTTTCACGTGTATGTTGTGTGTTTGTAACTTTCACGCGCCACGTATTATTATTCTAATGTATCCCATCGTCTATGACAATGGGATTAGACTGACGTAACGCATTCACCCCACCCTGCTCACCTTACGACGACAACACTGACTCTGTATAATTTTATTGTTAGTTTTTGTACCCGTGAGCGCGTGTTATGTATATATAAATTTATAATATATAATGTATATATAAACAAATATTTATTATTTATTATGAGAAATAAACATTTAAAGGTAAATTTTTTTGATTTAACATACATCCATAATACATAAGGAATTAGAATTACAGGCAGTTAAATGGTTTTTTATGATGATATTAATAGGCATATAGCTTTTATTATCAATAGTAGTAAAACACAGTTGTGAGTTTATAAACACACTAACTGCCAATAGAGAAATTATATCTATTGATAGTCATAATTGACAAAAAACACTCCGTGACTGACAAAGATGTCATAAAAAACTAAAAAGTAAAAAATAAATATAGTTTAAAAAACTAAAAATACACCCTTTTGAAACACATCGAACTAGAAAGTTAAAAATAATTTTTAAAATAAGCTTAAAACAAAAATGAACGAAAAATACTAGTATAATTATGAAAAAAATCGTCAATATACAAAAAATATTGCACAAAGCACCCACGCTTTTTTTCGTTCATTATTGTTTTAAGCTTATTTTAAAAATTATTTTTAACTTTATAGTTGATGTGTTTTAAAGCATGTTTTTTAGTTTTTTAAGCTATATTTAATTATCAGAGATTTTTGAACATGACTCTTTTTTTAAATTAATATGTTTTATAGCTATAAACACTTTGTGTCACTTTTGAAAAAAGTTAAATTGCATTCGTCAAATTATGGTGATTCAAAAGTTTTATTTACTTATAAAATATATGTTATAAAATACAATTATATTTAGTATGATTTATTAAATATACTACTCTCTATTTTTTTTTAATTAATGATTTTTTTATAATAATGTAAAATTTAATTTAATCTAAGAAACATTGTAAATATACAGTTTACTATAAAAACAAATTATACCTAATTTTATAATATATGGGTAACTTCCGCAAGTTAAGTTAGAACCTATAATTATTTTTTACTATTAAATAGAATATATCCAAATAAAATTTTTGCCGGTGGATAACCAGATTGCTATTATTGTTTTTTGAATTATTAGCATTTGATGATTTAAAAAAGATAGAGGAGGAGAGTAATGTTTAGTAACCTTTTATTTTTACTATAATGCACAGTTAATAATTCTTTAACTTTGCGTCACCTACTCGAATCAGGCCGAGCGCAAGGGGGGGTTTTGGGGGTTCAACCCCCCCCATTGACGAAAAAATATACAGGGTGATTTTTTTATCATAACCCACTCGATTACTTGCAAAATAATAATAATTTAAACATTTTTTTTTTTAATTATCATTAGTTACTCATTATTCTTGAATTGTTAACTATGTAATAATTTTTAAGTTCATCCCTTATGCCTTGGAGGGGGGTAAACTTTGTTTTTTTAAATGGTAACACATATTTTTAATTTAATAAAATGTTTGAGTTTTTAATTTAATAGTAAATGGCATTTGAATTTTTAATATAACTTTATTAGCTTATTAGATATAAACATTTAAAGTTTCAAAATTTTGAGTTAATATACATGTATAATACACATGGGATTGTAAATACAGGTAGCTAATTGGATTTTTATGACATTGCTGTCTCAGTCACGGATTGTTTATTATCAATTATGATTATCAATAGATATACTTTCTGTATTGTCAGTTAGTGTATTTATAAACTCATAACAATGTGCCTTACTACAATTGATAATAACAATGCTGTGTACCTGCTAATATCGATGTTATAAAAAACCAATTAGCTACCTGTATTTGTAATCCCTTGTGTATTATACCTGTATATTAATTCAAAAATTTGAAACTTTAAATGATTATATCTAATAAACGAATTAAGTTATATTAAAAATTCAAATGCCATTTACTATTAAATTAAAAACTCAAACATTTTATTAAATTAAAAATATGTGTTACCATTTAAAGAAACAAAGTTGACCCCCTTCCAATACATAAGGCATGAACTTAAAAAGTATTACATAGTTAAAAATTCAAGAATAATGTGTAACTAAAGATAATAAAAAAAAAAAAATGTTTAAATTATTATTATTCTGCAAGTAATTGAGTGGGTTATGATAAAAAAATCACNGGGGGGTTTGGGGGTTCAAACCCCCCCCCATTGACGAAAAAATATATATCATGTTTTTCATTTTTAATTGATTATATAAGATATTTGATTATCTTATTTGTTATAAATATTGCAGAGGACTGTTAGCATTGCATATTCTTTTTGGTTTATACGTTTTAATTAATTATTTATTTTATTAATAAACCGTTAAAAAATGTATTTATAAGAGCTTATTTCAGGATTTTTAAGTGCATAAGTGCACGCATAATCAGTTTTTTTAGGGGACAGAAGTCTTGTGCTCTAGTTATAAAATAATAATGCATAACATAATAGCACACCACTATTATTGTGTTACTCTCGTGTTTGGTGTTTATCGGTTTCCGTTGAGACATTATCGACAAAATATAATGACCGCGACGGCGACGTGAAGAACACGAGTATGACACGATAACGGAAGTCGCGTATTTTAAAAGATGTTCATAACCAAGTGTAAGACGTTAGTTATACAAAAACGGTGTTTGCAATATTTCGAAATGAACATTCGAAGATTTTTAAAAAAACCACGACTAGAAAAAGATGAGATAGTAAGCATATTAAAATTAATTGTAATTATTACAATTACTCGATTAATCTATTAAGTTTTTAAATTTTATTTATAGAAAACTAAGTAAAAGTTAAAATTATATTAAAAATATTATTAATTTAAAAAAAACTAAAAAATATTAAAAATATTAAACTCAAAGCCACAAAAAATTAATGAAAAGTCGCGGATACGTATTTCGGAAACAATGTTACCAAATTTTGAAATTATGTTTTCGTTATTATAATATTTCTTTTATAACCCTGTTATAAAAGAAATAGCTAAATTTAATGGGTATAACGAAAACATAATTTCAAAATTAGTCCGAAAACAAAAGTGGAAAAAAGAAAGGACGGCAGCTAGTACACTCACCAGCGAGGGGGAACAAAAAGTAATTAGATCACCAATTTTATTTTATCCGGGCATCTCAAATGGATTAACTAAAATATTTAAGAATTTTGGTATTACTTTGGTAACATCTAAGAGTAATAATTTAAGAGATTTATTAGGTAACCCTAAAGATAAGGTAGATGAAGGGGGGAAATCAGGCATTTATAAAATACAATGTGAAAGTTGTAATAAATGTTACGTAGGACAAACAAAAAGAAATATAGGGGTCAGGTTTAAAGAGCACTTAAGAAATATTAAAAATCAAGAAATTGAGAAATCTCCAGTGGCTGAACATTTATTGACACATAATCACTCTATTAAAACCATAAAACTAATTAAAAACGTAAATAATTACAAAGAACTTAATATCAGAGAAGCAATAGAAATGTTTAAAAATAAAAACAATTTAATTAATTGGGATCTTGGCCCACTGAAAAATTCATTATTAAACTTGTGTAAACTGGCAAAATGTGATAATATTACTTAGTGATAACGTCACTAGGTGATAAGGTCACTAGGGGTATATAAGGGAGTTTTTTCTAGTCGGGGTGTCAGTATGTGTTTAGCGTTGATAATGGTAACATTGTTCCCGAAATACTTATCCGCGACTTTTCATTAATTTTTTGTGGCTTTGAGTTTAATATTTTTAATATTTTTTATTTTTTTTAATTGAATAATATTTTTAATATAGTTTTAATTTTACTTAATTAATTAGCCACAAATGATCAATTTTTATTATATAGGAAACTAGTTTCAATAACCTGTCACAATCAACTGAACCAGCAGAAAAAGCATCTACAGATACAAATGTAATTCCAAAGTTTGTGTACCCTCATGATACAGGGTTATATGTGAATAAACCTGCAACTGAAAGTATTGACTTGATACCGGGACTTCAAAATTTGATATGGACACCTCCAGAAGACTACAAATTTCCTGTTTCCGAAAATAGAAATTTAAAATTTCAAAGAAGTTGGTTACTCAAATATAAATGGTTGGCTTATTCAGCATTTATGAATGGCGCATTTTGTAAGTATTGTGTATTGTTTTCTATACGAAGTGGAGGAATTGGACATCAAACATTGGGGCAGCTTGTTAAAAAACCACTTACCAACTGGAAAAAAGCTTTAGAATCATTTAGTTATCATAACTCACTCGAGTATCATAAAACTTCATTATTAAAATCAAATATGAGAACAGAAATTGATAATCAAAATATTTTATCGGTTGACTTACAAATTTCGGAACAACAATTAGATTTCATTAATGAAAGTAAAAAATGTTTGATTCCTGTGATCGAAACTTTAATATTATGTGGTCGGCAGGGTTTGGCTCTTCGTGGTTCAAAAGATTCAGAAAGAGTAACTTCCGAAGAACCTATAACTAACGATGGTAATTTTCGGGCTCTTTTAAGATATCGAGCAAAAACTGATGAACAGCTTAATAATTTTTTACAAAATTCAGCAAAAAACGCAATGTACATTAGTAACCGTGTTCAAAACGAATTTATTGTCATATTTCACAATTTAATTCAAAAACAGATTATTGAACGTGTCAATAAATCTCGAGCTTTTTCTATAACAGCAGATGAAACTGCAGATATAGCCGGCATAGAACAACTTTCAATCTGTGTACGGTATTTAAATTATAAGGACAGTAATTATAAAATATGTGAAGATTTTTTAAGCTTTATCCCTGTTGAAGATGTAACAGGGAAAGGTTTATCAAATGCTATTTT